CCTGCCATCTGTGATCTAGCCACACGGGTCTTCTGCCTGTTCTTCACACACAAAACTCCATTTCCCAATTCTGTGTCTTAGCATTGGCAGTCCCCCATCCCTGGAGTGCATTCTCTCCTTACCTCTGCCTCACTGAGTACCTATCTTCCTTTAAGAAGATAGCTCATGCACCATCTTCTCTGTAGGAATCCTTTGTGGATCCTCCCAATTACTAGTGTTCTCCTTCTCCAACTACCTGGTATTGAATATACCTTGTGTATATTCATATTTATTAATTCGATGTTTATGCTGTACAGCATATACATATTTCTACATGTACTTATCTCCCAATTGGAAATGTATATTCATTGTGAGGAAGAATTGTTCTTTCTTTGTACTTGTTTCCTTGGGGTACAGTTCCTGGCACATAGTAGGTACAGAATAAACATTTGTTTTATTGATGGATTTACTTGATTAGTTGACAGCTCAATAAATATTTTTTTAATTGAATTACTTCATGGATCTGGGTTGACTCCATAGTTTTAGGCAGCTCAACCTAAGTAGCAGCTACATTGTCCTCTCTCTGGAATACCTTTCCCAGTATTTAACTCTTAAAGAGTCCAAAGTAGTATGCAAGGACATTTTGTGGTGCTTTTGTCCCATTCCACAGGCACTTTCCCTTCCACTTTAGGTAGCTACTGAGGCACAGTGGATAGCTTAGACCTGGAGTCAGAAAAAGACCCAAATTCAAATCCTCAGATATTTACTGTGTGACCCTGGGAAAACCACTTAATCTCTGTCTGCCTGTTTCCTCATCTGTTAAATGGGAATAATAATAGCACCTACCTCACAGGGTTTTTTTGAGGATAAAATAAGATTATACTTCTAAAATGCTTTGCAAACTTAAAAATGCTATATAAATGTAAACTTTTAGTATTATTACTCCCCAAATTAACAACTGATCCATAGTTATCACTTCTAGTAAATGAGCCTTCTAGTAAATGAGCAGACACAGTAGTCCTTACCTCCATATACACACAATAATGCACAATGGTGCCATTTTCTGGAAGCTTATATCTTTGTTGCTGCTCACAAGAGTGATGGAAGGAAGTCTGCCAACCAATCCCTCTCCATCATCATTGATCCTGGACAAACCCCCTTAAATGTAACCCATATATCAGTTATGTTCTGCTTCTGACATGATGAGAGAATTTCTCACAAAAATCTCTCTGGTTTGGGGCCTTCTCTCACTCATTACATACACACACAAACACACACACACACACACCCTGAAATCCTGGGAATACTAGTATCTGGTTTGTGATAGTATCTGATATTTCACTAAAAAAAAATATGTCAAGTTCTCAACCAGAGAAAATCTGGTAACATCAGTATCTGGTGTATTTTGCTCTTAGAAAAAATAGGCTTCGGCTAGGCATTCAGACTAATAAGACATTTAATATGAGGAAGGTTGTATTTGAACAACAAATATACCAGAGTTTACAATTATTTCCAAAGGCAGTTAAGAAAGCTCTCCCATCTTCCCCGTGGGCAGAACTTGGGAATTCTAGAGTCTACCTTTCCTCTCACTTTCTTAGAACCCACACTGTCCACATGACTCAGGGTGATAAGGCCTAATGATAAGGCCAGGTTATTTCTGAGTTCAGATGGTTCCCTTTAACACAAAGAGCTTGCTTGGATCAGCAAATACCAATGTGGTGCATGTTTGAGGCAGCTATCCAAGTCCTTAAAGGTCTTTTCACATTTCTCTTCCAACTGATCTCCAAAAGATGCCAAGAAGGTCTAGTTCAGTGTTTATTTTGGCCTTCTGTTTATGGTTCTTCCCAGTCCTACATATCTATGTGTGAAATCATTGAGAATCTTTGCCATGATGACAGTGTTCTTCATAAATTTCTCACCACAGCCACTAAACCCCAGAAACGGCTTCACTTCCTGATAATTCTTTCACTATGGCCAGGTAATGAGAACTTTTATCCTCCTAGGGTCGGTATTCATTTTGAGTATGCAGCCTTGGTCTCTGTCTGCCAGCTCCCAGTCATGTCACTCTTTGCTGAGGTTCTCTCTCTTTCCCCTCCCTGCCTCCCCGGCTTCTTTTCTCTCCTTTGCCTCTTCCTCCTCCTGGGATCTTTAGATGGACAGGGGCTGTAGATACATAGTGGCCTGCTTGCACTTCTTCCTTCTCATCTGTAGTCAGTAGGTGTGCTCACTCTCCCTCTGCATCTTTGTCTGACTTAGCTCCTTGGTGCACCCTGCTTTGCTACAGGGTCCACGTGGATGTGTGGGCCTCTCCAGGTCTGGGTGCAGTCTAGCATCTCGTTCCCTTCTCCTACTGGACCCTGTGCTCTCTCATCTAGAAGCAGTCTCCTTTTCACCCCTCAGTGCCCCATGAACCAGGGAAGAGGGGCTCACCTGCATGCTTACTACACAGGGGGTGGAGGTGGAAACCAAAACTAGAGACTGAAAATAGTCATCAGCAACAACAGCCAGTAACCCATTTCTAATGAGTCAGCTTCTGGGACTTCTCCCCCCCCTTCCCCTGACTGCACAGCCAGGCAGAGGTTTTGTGCCTCTGCAGGCTCCTGCGAAGTGACAGCCTGGTTGGTTAGGTTCAACCTGCACCCCCACTCTCCATCCCAGCACCCCTCCCCCTTTCACTTTAGAGCCGAGTGATGTCATTCACTTCCCACTTTGTGGAAAAATCTCAGGCCCTGGAGCCCGCGTGCATGCCTTTTTGACCTGGGAAGGAAGGAGAAGAGACAGGCGTGCACATTTCCAGCCCCGCCACCGTAGCCCGGGGTGGGCACCCCGATAAGCATATTTGTTGGATTGTAACGGCTACATAAAATGATATAAAGGGGGGGGCGATTGGAGAGGCATAGACAGAGGTGGGTGGGTGGGACCCAGAGACCCAGGCTAGGGGTCACGGGTTGGGGGTGGGGTGGCGTGTGGCTTTTTAAATCCCGCAGCAGAGAGAGGGACTGGACGGCTGCAGCCCGGGCCAGGAGGGAGACGCGCCGGCGGCAGGTTTAATTCAGGGGCTGGCACGGCACTGGTGGAGAAGGGGCACGCAGAAAAGCAGCAACCCCTCTTCCCCCCTGCCGTCCCCACCATCCCCTAGCCTGGCCCCGGGGCAGCCGAGGCCGCCGGAGCCGAGAGTCTAAATCCGGGACCGCAGGGGCCGCCCCCTCGGCGGGCCCAGCGCTTCCCGCCCCGCCGCCTGTTGCTAAGGGCCGGGCTGGCGCCAGGCGGGAGGCCTTAGCAACTGAGGCTGGCCCGGGCCCCGAGGACGCGGCGCGCGCGCGCAAGGGAAGGGGGGGGCGGGCGGCCAGATTACCGCCCCCCCGCCCCCGACGCATAGGCCTGCTTCTCATAGATGTAGCGGAGAGGAAGAGGGTGCATGAAGAGAAGTGTGTGTGTGTGTGTGTGCGCGCGCGCGCGCGCGCGTGCGAGGGAGTGAGGAGGGCAGCTAGATTCTTCCCCCCCACAGACCTACAAAACAGTGTGTGTATATGAGTGTGTGAAGGGGGGCGGCCCAATTACCCCCCTCCTGGACACAGGGTCCCTCTTCCTAGACACAGGCCGGCTAGGAGGGAGAAAGGGGGCTTAAATAGAGAAAAAGTTTGTGTGTGTGTGTGTGTGTGTGTGTGTGTGTGTGTGTGTCTGTGTGTGAATGAAGTGAGGAGAGGGGGCAGCCGAATTACTCGCTTTATGGTTCACAGGCCCCACTCATAGACATACTGGCTCTGTGTGTGTGTGTGTGTCTGGGTATGTATGTATGTGTGTGTGAATGAAATGCGTAGAGGGAGCAGCAGAATTACTCGTTTTATGGTTTACAGGCCCCACTCTCGTAGACACACTGGCTGTGGCCAGAGAGGGGAAGGGGGCTTCTGCGAAAAAAAGCTGTGGAGGTGGGGGGCAAATTAACCCCTTCGTGGATATAGGGCTAGCTTCTCATAGACACACTGGCTATGTCCGTGAACAAGGAAGGGGGTTTATGAGAAGAAAAAGTGTGTGTGTGTGTGTGTGTGAGAGAGAAAGGGGCGGCCAAATTAGCCCCTTTGTGGACACAGATCATTTTCTCATAGACACACATGCCGTGTTAGCTGGCGGGGAAGGGGGATGTATGAGGAGAAAAAGGGGTGTGTGTGTATATGTGAGTGGGTGGGTGCACGTACTTGTGTGCATGCATTTTATCCTCTTTCCTTTATTTACATAAAGCTGTGTCCGAGTTGATGGTTGTGAGAAGGAAAAAAGGCAGTGCATGTGTGTTGTTAAATGACATTCCCCCCGCCCCCGCCCTAAGCATTGCGGATCGATTAGGGGTGGGGGGCAAGCTTTCTCGCTTATAGACGCCTATCTGTCGGAGAGAGCGTGTGAAGAGAAAATGAAGTGTTGGACACCCCCCTCCCCGTATACACAGGGTAAAGAGAGAGAAGAGTAATGGGTGTAAAGAAGAAAAGAAATTGATGCGTGTGTGCTTAGGTATTGCGGGGAGATAGACGACTCCCCCTCCCGTGCCGACAGCAGTGGCTGCGGGGGAGGGGCCAGCGAGCATCAGGTGCAGTGGGCGGGACCAGACGAGTAGGCGGAGCCGCGGCGCAGTGGGCGGGGCTTGGCTTGGGCTGTGACAGCCGCGGGTGCCGCCGCCTCCAGTGCAGGGCCAGAGCAAGGGGATTTCCAGTGCTGAGAGAGGAAGTGCGGTGTGTGTGTGTGAGTGAGTGAGTGAGTGAGTGAGTGAGTGAGTGTGTGTGTGAGTGTGTGCATGTATGTATGTGTGTGTGTTTGTGTGAGGGATTACAGCACAGAAGGGACTTTCCAACCCCACCGGCGGCGGCGGCGGCGGTGGCTACAGCCCCAGCTCTTCCCCCCCTTCTCCCCAGCACCTCACACCCCTCCCCCAGCCCCTACCCCCCTACTCCCTCCTTTTCCTCCTCTCCACCGGGACGGCAGCCACCTCCTCCTCTCCCCCAACCCCTCAATTTGGCGCTGCTCCTTCTCCCCCTCCCTCTTGTCTTTCCCCCACCGCACCCCCCAGCCCTCACACGCAGCCCAGCCCACCCGCCTGCGAAATGGGGCTGAAGGGGGAGGAGGAGGGCGCGGAAGGGGGAGCAGGACCCACTTGGCTTCCCTAAGCGACCAGTGGCTTTGAGGAGCCCTAGCCGGTGGCAGATCTATCAGTCTTGGGTAAGGGGGGAAAACTGGGGGAGAGGGGAGGACGAAGGGGAGGGGGGACCCCCGAGAAAGTGGACGGGGGTTGGTGTGAGTGCTCTTCCACGTTGCTTTGCTACGCTGAAGGGAGGGGGGTGGGCGTGTAGAGGGAGGGGGGAGGCGGGGCAGCCACCTTTCCCTGGTGTGGCCGGGGCACTTGCTTCTGCAGCTTTTTCAGACTCCCTCCCTCCCTCTCCTTCCCTCTCCCCCCGCCCCCCTCCCTCTTTCTCTCCCTCCCCCCTCCCCCCAAGCTGTGCCCTTGCTGCTCTCTTTAGCTTCTTGCTTCAAGATTGTGGCTGCTCCTGATCCTTCTCAGACCCTCATCTCTTGCCTTGCTCCTGCTGCTGCTGTGGTTGCTGATCCTGCTTCTGGAGGCTTGGGCTTTAGACCCTCTTCCCAGCTCTTGCCTGCCCTGTTGCTGCCCTGGCAAAACTCGGGCTTCTCAGTGGGGCGACATTACAGCCGCGGGCCCCCAAACTGATCGGCATTACCGTGGTGCCGGCACTGCTGCCGCTGCTGAAGAAAGGATGGATTAGTAAGTATTACCCTGGCCCAGGACTCCCTAGGCAATTCTCTGTCTGTGTGTGTGTTTTCTTGCCTTAGTTTGGTGTTATATTTTATGGAAACCTCTGTCCATTTCAATATTTCCTAATGTAGCTGGTAGTGAGTGGGTCATGGGGCTTTAAAAGAAGCATCGGCCACCTCTTCCTCTGCTATTCTCTTCCTACTGGAGACTAAAAACGCTTTAATCTAACTTTTGAAAAACTTTGTAAGGGAAAGATGGTATTCCTTTGGAAATGTCTTGGGGTTAAGACACTATTTATGGCTTTTTCTCTTAAATAATTTGCTCTTAGCTACTTAGAGGCAGTAGAATTACACTAAAGAATGCAAGTCTAATGTGATCTGGATTTTCCCCTCATGGAAAATCCGCAGAATGTTTCAGTGTGGACGGTTGCACCTGGTCAACACAGAAGAATCTTTTTTTGTCCTCAGCTTTCCAGAAAATGTGGATTCCAAGGCCTTATTGTATGTGATTTTCTTTTCTCTCTCTCTTTAAATCAGTGTTGCGTGTACTGAGAGGGATAAAACTATGCAGCCCAGAAAAAGAGACACTCCATTCAAAGCATTTAAATTCATGCATGTACTTACCCTGGTTGAGTTTAGGTTTTTTTTTAAGCCATTATTTGAAAGTTTATACTGAGTCATTCCTCTGCAGATGAACCTCTGACTGATTCATAATCAGAAAACTGCAGTGGCCTGTAAGATAGAAAAGTACTGTAATACAGTTATAGATAGCTTGCAAAATTTTATCTTCAGTTGATATTAATGAAATCCCCCAAAAGCCATGATGATCACAGTTATTCCTACTACTTCATTTCCAGCTCCATCTTGAGGTGCCAAGCTGTTGCTTACATATTAATGAAACTCTTAGCCCCTTTTGGGATGTCTAGTTGATACTTAGACCTTTGGAAAAATTTTCACCGTTTAAAATGATCTCAAATTAATTTTTTTAAAGGAGTAACAAATGATTGAGGACAAAGTCCCAAGGACATGCTTAGGAATCCAAGATATCCTCAAATGATTAATGGCCAGCCAAAGGGGAAATTGTGTTTGAAATGTTTACATTCATCTTAGAATGAATTTACAGCCAGAAATGGGGTGTATTCTATTTTTGTAGCCATTATAAGAAAGCAGGATTTAGCACATTGTATGTTTTTCTTAATTTATATTCACAGCATACAACTGAAGAGGAGCCATTATTTTTTGACATATGCTGTGAATACATATTAGGAGTAAAACCTTGGAAGAGGCTGGTTTCTGTAATCTTGGTTTTGGCAATGATTTAATCTTTTTGTGAAGAAATGATTGTATGCAACCACATGCTATTTTAAAAGCCACTTATTTTGTACGTGGAATCTTTAAAAAATGTTCTTATTTTAAAAGGCTTCATCAGGTATAGGGAGAGATTGATAAAATAGTATAAAGCCATTCTCAATTTAAATGAATGAAAAAAAAACTTAAAGGAAAATACTTGCGTTGTCATGTTCTGCTTATAAAAATCTCCTTAAGAATTTAAATGTGAATTAAAACATACACCCAAAGCTTCGCCATTCCTAGACTGAAACAAAATAAGCCACACTAATGCCAAAATAGGAAAATTTTATGGCCAGATTGGAAACCCCTGAGAGTAGGGGCTTATTATGGAAATACTGACAGACTTTGAATTTTAGCATCACTAGTTAAAATCAAACCTTATCAGGGCTGTGGTTTACAATGTAAGGCATCTCACTGAAGAGTAATCTGTTCCAGCTGTCATATCCTATAATATAGGAAACCAAATAGCAGCTAGAAAGAATTCCAGCATAGTGATAGTGTTTTTTAAGCATACACAGGACATTTTTCTGTGATAGGAAAGGAGACCAATTTATTTTATTTTTATGTCTTCCAATTCTTAATAAGACTCTTGATCAGGGAGAGGGTTATAAAGACATTAGATGGAAACAGACAATAGCAGGGACCAATGGTTAGTTAATCCCACCAAAATAACCTTATTATTGTTCGTGTCTTTAAATGACAGATTTTTACTGAAATAATTAAGGAACTGCAGCTTATTCTCTCAGCTTTCCTCCTTCCCTTAACACACACCCCCTTTCTTATAGGCATGATTATAACACTGTTTTATTACTGATACTGACCTCTGTTTGTTAGACAGATTTCATAAATGGGAATATTGTATTGCAGGTTTTTTTTGGTTATAAATCCTTGTGAGAAATCTTAAATCTTGCGAAAAAAAATTTGTAGTATGCTTTGGGGTACTATTAGGATAGATATCTAATACATTGAAATGTGAATAGGTATTAATCATTGCTTTAAAAAAAAGGCTTTTTTTCTTTCAAACACTATTTTTTATTGTAAAATTCTTTGAGAGATTGAACTGTTACTGTGTTGCAAGTCTGAGTTAGACCAAAGAAAGGAAATCGTGTTAAAGTTGTTCATCTCTGTTTTCCCATCTTGATATAACAGGAACAGTATGTGATCCAGCCTATCAAATGTTACGCAATAGCTGAAATTTTATTGCATTGGCCAATTTAAGAACTATTAGCTCAGAAGCTATATTCTCATGCTTGAAGACTGTGTATCATTTCTATAGGAGCAAGATTGCCTGCCATTGGTCATTTTAAAAAAGTTTTATTAATGTCTTTTGTTTTTGCATCAGTCATTTCCCAGTAAATTTCCTCACATCACTGCCATGGAATGATTTGCTATAAAAAAAGAAAAAAATTAAACCAAGCAACGGTGATCACATCTTATTAGTGCAACATTCTGTCTTCTTAGTTGTCCCCCTCCTCTCCCGACCCCGACCCTTATCAAAAGGAGGGAGTTGTGTTTCGTAATCTGTACTGTGGGACAAATGTTGGTCATAATTATTCAGAATTTGGCTTTGCTTTAGTGTTCTTTTCATTGACATAACTCTAGTCACAGTATGTACATTGTTCTTATTTTGCTTTACATCACTACATCAGTTCTTGTGGGTCTTCTTATATTTCTACAGATTCCTCATATTCATTGTTTCTTATGGCACAGCTATAGTGTTCTATTAAATTCATAGGCCACAATTTGTTCAGCTATTCCTTAATCAATGGACACCCACTTTCTTTGCAGTTCTTTGCTACCCTAAAAAGTACTATGATGGATATTTTGGCATATACAAGGCCTTTCTGTGTTTGACCTCTTTGGGGTAGTGGGATCTCTAGGTCATAAGGATGTTAACAGTTTATTTTTTATTTTTTGGAGGCAGTTGGAGTTAAGTGACTCGTCCAGGGTCACATAACTAGTAGGTGTCTGAGGCTGAACTAGGTCCTCCTGACTACAGAGCTGTTACTCTAGCCACTGTGCCACCTAGCTGCCCCAGTATGAACAATTTAGTGACTCACATTCCAAGTCTAAAATGATTGACCTAACTTGCAATTCCACCAATAATGTATTAGTTTGCCTGTTTTCTCACCCCCCCAACATATTTCTGTATTTCATCATCTTTGCCAATCTGATGTGAAGTGAAACCTAAGAATTGTTTTAATTTGCATTTCTCATGCAGTGTTAGCGATTTGGAGCATTTTTATGTAATTATTGATAGTTGGCAAGTCTTCTTTTAAAAGCTGTTTGTTCATAACTTTGATCAGTTATCTACTAAAGAATGGCTTTTGGTCTTACATATTTATGTCCTATGTGTTATGAATATCAGAGATATTTAATTCAGAGATTTCCCCAATTCATTTCTCTTCTTTATCTAGCTGCATTGATTTTGTTCATTCAAAAACAAATCTTTTCAATTTTATGTAATATAAAGTCTGCTTTATCTTTTAGATAAAATAAGATTTAAAAAGATAAAATGGACAGTCTTCTTGGATAAAATTTTTTGGTGGGAATGCAAGAACACCTTACATTTTAAAATGGCTGGACTATGGTGTTAAAATACTTTGGATCTGAATACGAAGAAACAGTGGAAAGAAGATGTAAGATAGGGCGAATAAAAGAAGAAATAGACTCAGTGACAAAGATGATGCCTGAAAATGAAGCTGCAGAAAAAAAGATGAGGCAAGGTAGAGATTTAGTGGCAGGGAATTTAGAGGATAGGGGGCCATAGAAAGGCAATAGACAAAAAGGAAGAATTTATTATTGTCTTGGTTTTTGTTTGTTTTGTCTAGATTTTTAATCACTCTAAGAACTTCTGTCTTTGTGAACTCTTTCCACCAGTGCAGATAAGCAAGCAACTCAGGTCGTGTTAGAGTTGCCTGGAGCACTGAGCTGTTAAGTGCCATGCCTGTGGTCACACAGCTAGTATGTCTAAGGTAGTGCTTGAGGGGATTATGATACTGGTCCCTTATTAGTTAAGCTATGTGGCCTTCTGTTGTGGAATAGACAAAGTAAGAAACTGTTGGAGGCTTTTTGCTCAAAAGGAAAGGTAAAAGCAATTCAAAATAGCTGGAAATTATAACAGCAAGCAAATGGAAAAGGAAGAAAAAACTCATAAGAGAATATGTTTGTGCCATTGAAGTATCTTTTAATTTATACAATTGCTACAAAATGGTTTTCTCATTTAAAAAAATGCTTATTGAAAGCCTGTGTAATAGACACACTTTGTGTGTGCCTGTTTGTGTGTGTGTGTGTGTGTGTGTGTTACATAGAAAATAGAAGACAGCATCATGAAAGATAAAGCACTTTTTCTGGAAAAACTCCATATCTCTATGCAGATGACTTGGTAAGGGACAAAGAGATAGTGAAATGTTACTATTACAGATCAAATTTTATTACATTAAAATCCAAAGAATTGTCCTTCCTTTTTTTTTGTCTAAATTTTCTGTTAATTGAGCCCTGGACTCTGACATCATGGACCTAAGTATGGTTTTGGGGAAGTCTCTCACAGAGTCTCTTTGTGTCTTGAGCCTACCCAGGGAAATCCCGGCACAGTCAGTATCTGGTTCCATTTGCTTTTCCAGGCAGGGCCCTTAGCTCCCCTGCAAGCACTCAGGTTAA